GTTAACATTTGTAATTCATACTAAAATTTTGTATGTATTGATTTATTTTACTTTACAATCAGAGCTCCTTTTAAAAAAAATATATAAATAAAGTTTAAACGCTGGAGCTCAATACTTGACATAATTGGTCGAAGGAATCGGCCAACGGGGTTAGAGATGCAGAAATGATTTAAAGATGATATGCTGATGAAGACAGACATCTAGTGGTCAACTGGAGCAACTACATGGAAAACTTTAAAATCCAAGCTCTTATTTTGAAGTTRGCAGATAAGTTTCCTGTACTGCCTAAAGGGCTCAACACACGGGGAGCGACAAACTACAGCAATTAACYGCTGTCATCGCAACCAGGGTGAAACCCGACACACAGGACGTGGTAGCGAWGGCAGKGTTGCGAATCGTGCTCTCGGGTCGCTTGTCTTCACAAAATTTGATTGGTTCTTCTACTGCCTCTTGTAAAGGTTATTGGTGGTWTGCAAAAAAAGGGGGGAAAAACAAACACACACCAAGYTACGATTTTATGAGGAAAACTTACCAGATAACTTCACCCTGACACCAACAAATTCCCATAAAGTTGCATTTTTTAGTAATCACTTGGTGAAGGATCATTTAAAACTGGAAAGTTTGACAGAGCTAAAATAACGTTGAAAGTGTAAGCTAACTGCAGTGTGTAGCATACTCTCCTCTCATTGGTCAGTCAACAGAAACTCTTGCTTATTGGTTGTAAGGCCATGCGACAGTGACAAAAGTTGAACATTTTTCAACTTTCATATGTRGCATCACAAACTCGCGTGTGCACATCTACGTGTATGAGTGCGAAATTTCACATGCACGATTTTCGCCGGTCGCTTGGCTGGAGGAGAGTGAGCGATTGTCGCCTCATCGCACAAGCTCCATAGGAAATGAATGGASAGCYAGCGACGTCGCCTCCCGTGTGTCGAGSCCTTAAGCTGTAGAGGTGTTMCAGGTGGCAGACGTTTGATTCTGAATCCCTCTCTGATTCTCCAAAATGAGATTACAACCACTTTCTACTGCAAAACGAAAAAATAAAACAAAAAACAAAAACCAACAGCCTCAGATTGTGGAATCAACCTCACCTCTTTGCTGTTCTCATAGTAAAACACTCCCAGAATAAGGATATAGATGAGGGGGATGAAGAACGTGGAGTGTGTGTAAAACTTCTGCTCCTTCATGAACACGTCTGCTCTGTCACAGAGGTAGAAGTAAGCCATTATAACACCCATCCTGCAGAGAGCCTGGAAAGGCGCCTTCGGTCCGAGGGGGGCAGTCGCCAAGGCCGGCTTCTTCTCCTCGAGACTCTCCACGTCGGGGGGCACGGGGCGCCGGTGGCGACTGCTGCCAAGGACGTGGAGGACCACGAACACTACGGCTGAGCCCAGGAAGAAACAAGCCGACAGCTTTTGGGAAAGGTTTGGGGGTGGCAGTCTCTGGCAGCAGGAGCCATCGATGGGCCTCAGCAGCTTGTTGCAGATAGAGTTCATGAGGATCATGGCTCCCTGAAAGCGAAGTTACAAACGCAGATAAAAAAAATGAATGTAAAAATATCTAAAGATACAAAAGAGTGCAGCTAACACAGTGATTAGTGTTCCCGCTTACCACATTCCTGGTGCTCTCAGGCAGGTGTAAACCATCGTCTGATTGGGCGATTGTTTCCAGGGCGGCCTGGCGGGAAGCTGCCAGCAGCTTGACCCGAGATCTGCCGTTGAACTTGCTGCTGTTGAGCACGTTCGTCACCGCTTCATTGTACAGCTCCAGCTGCTGGTTGGTGATCATCTTCCTGTTTTTGCTCAGCATCTCCTCGTTCACTGGGTCTGCGACACAAACAAGTATATTTTGTAAACTTTGTGAGCAGCATGAAGATGACTGCAATTATTTATTTATTTTTTTTTTAGTGGTCAACACAGGACTTTTCCAAYAAACCATTAAGAGCCAACAGTCTGCTGAAACTCTCAGCCCCTCCTCGGGCTGTAGGAACGGGCCCACTGAGGAACACATCCATGTTGAGATTTTTAACTGCATTCAGCAGCAGAATAAAATCCTTCTTCAGGATTTCTGACTGTCAGTTCATAACTTCATCACTTCCTGTATGAATGATGAGTGTATTCAGAGTTGGATACTCAGCTGTTATTTGCAGAATCTTCTCTGTGAGGTCAGACACTTTATCAGCAAAACTCAGAACTTTGGCTTTTTTCTTGTTCCAGAAGCCTCTGATCTCATTCACCATTTTATCTGTTATAATCAGCATTTCTTGATTTTTGAAAGTCTCTTTTTGGACTTGCTTTGGCTTTGGGCTGGATCTGGATCTGGTCTCAGGTCCCTCACTGAGATCAGATAGAGAACTTTGATCAGACTCACCAGTTTCTTCCAGTGGTGTGAATCTGTTTTGAAGAAACACTGCTTCATTTCTCTAGCTGTTATCAGCTGTTTTGATTACAGCCTGTTGCTTTCTTCTCCTTGCAGGAGGAGAAAAAACATTTCTCTGTAACTCTGGCCATTCGATGTCATCTAAGAGCTGAATTCTTCCTGAGAGATTTTTTTGGTCTGGCACAAAGTGAGTTCCATACAGCTTTACTCTCAGAAGCAGCTTAGATGTAATGGAACTAATACTTTTATGTTTAAGTAAGTAATTCATAACATCCTTTAATGACCTAGGTTTTCATGGCATGCTGTTCATCTGCACATAGAATGATTAAAGTCAGAACAAGATTTGCTAACAACAGTCATTCTTAGATATCACTTGTGTTTATCTTTGTGTTTTCCATTGACCTTGTATCAAATCTTGCTAAGATGACATAATGGTGTTTGTTAATATATTTATATATATGAGGCCTCTCAACTGCATCAACAGTGTTCAACAGTAGTGTGGAGAGACAGTGACAGAGAGAAGCAGAGGCACAGAGACAGGCCAGGTTCTCTGTGTTTCCTGTTGTTGCAATAAAACTCAGCTGATCATCTCACGGAGTACCTTCATTCTTGGACCACGCATTTCTGTCTTTGTTAAATAAATATTGCCATAACAGTCCCCTTTAACACAATTTGATTGGATGTTTGAAGGTAACACATTTTTTATGAGCTTTATACATAGCCTGTAGAATATGATATTCAAACAACTCATCAAATTTTAATAATTTTAACTGATGAACCAATGTATTAGATGGGTGATAGTAATGCTTTCTTGTAATAATTCTTATGGCTCTTTTTTGTAAAATAAAATTTTATGAAGCCGAAGGAAGACACAAAGAATAAATCGCTTAGATAGAGGAGGTTGGTCCAGATCAGTTCATAACTTTCATTACATACATTTCGTATACTTCTGTAAATTTTGTAAACTTCCGTTAACAGGGATGTGTATGTGTAGTATTATTATATTAGCTTAAGATGGTCTCCAAACGACATCAGCATTTTATCATCCAGAAAAGTTTGTTATCCTGACAGTTCTGCACACAAGACATGTATTGCTGCAGTGAACTCAGGCAGCAATATCACAACAGATCATCATCATGTGCCTAAAGTAGACTTTCTGCTAGGCTCACCTTGCAGGACCCAGTACACCTCCGCATGGTCAGCCAGCTTCTCCAGATGCGCGGCGATGGCCGTCAGGTTGGCTCTGTACTGCTGAAGGGTCTCGCCGCTGCCGCCGTGCAGCTTGATGGACCACTGTGGCAAACGGAGAAGCAGGTGAGATTAAGACCGATGTGATTCGGTTCGTCGTCCGTCCGGCGTGAAATTCGTAAGCGCTGATGAGCACTCGTTCAGGCAGCTCACCGTGGCAGCTCCGATGATGACGACATCCGGCTTCGCGGACGCTTCCTGCGACACAGGAAATGGAACAACAACTGAAACATGTAACAACAATAACTGAAGATTATAGTCACTAATATTAACACACATTTCTAAATATGACCCATAAACAGCCAAACAGAAAGAACCACTATAACGACAGAGACGATTAAAAAAATAATTTCAAAATGCTCCTTGGCTGTTAAAATAATAACAGAGCTTTGTGTGACACCAACACTCACTTGAGTCCATAACATGAAGCGCTCCTTCATCGAGTTATTTGCCTCAGGATGCCAAAGAAAGTCCTAAACCCAAGGAGGAATGTGGGTTTTAGTTTTTTATCAGTGGAAGCTTTTGATGGCTGAGAACTGGAAAATAAAACGAGCATCTAGAAATAGCTCACCACATTAATAGAGGACCTCTCATCATGAAAGTAAATGTCCTCGTGCTTCAGACGTTGCGTGTGGACAGGGAGAGAAATTTGGTTAGAAACCGTTTTACATCAAGCGCCACTTATAAATAACCTGAATATTTCATGATACTGGTACAAAGAAATGATAGGAAGAGGAAAAAGAAGGGTTAGTTTTTTAAACACTGAAGCAAAAAGTGGAGTTTTCACCTTGACACTAGATGAAAGCTTCAAATTAAGAAAACAGCTGGAGTAAAAGGTGCCATTTTAAACACCTCTGGCTCCAAACACACAGTTTCTCGTGAATACCTTGTTTCCGTCTTCGGCTCGCTCGGGGTCAATAATTTTGACGAAGGAGTAAAACAGTTGCCTGATTCGCGAGTCACCGACAAAGACCACCTGTTTCTTTACAAGGCATGTTTTGGCTTCACTGCAAGACAGATACATTGGAAATATACAATTAATTTATGTCAAAATATCATATGTATTTTTTATTTTTCAATGAGCAGGACAATCAGGTGTGAGTGACTTAGTTTTAACTATGTGGTAAATTTATCTGCACCCAGAAACTAGGTCATTAGGGTTGGTAAAGCTAAAAGAAAGAAAAACAGTCCAATGAATGAACTTAAACATCTTAAAATAAGCGTATGCTGCTTTAAAGCCAACACTGACCATCACAAAAAGCATGGTGATTATTTTTCTTGCAAAATGACAGCATTCCACCATCAGGTGGAGGTGCACAGGGTTCAAATGTATTTGACAACCAGCAAAATTGGCAGAATAAAATCTCAATTTTGCTGCATTTCTGCCGGCTACCTCAGTGTTTTAAGAGGACGTGTTAAAACAATGGGCCTCATGCAAGAACATGTTCGTATTCTTATCCTAAATTTCTCTTATTTTTGTTCGTATGAAGGGTTCATACGAACATGTCACGTCAGATTCAACAAACTCTTCTATCTTCAGGAAAAGTGTGTAAATGAGCTGCGTAAATTCCACCTGTTCGTATCCAGCTGCTTGTGCATGTGTGTGAAATACCACATAGAGCTCAGTTATTGTTTGTCATCGGTGACCCTCGCTGAATAGGAGTTTGACATCCCTGCTCTGTTAGATAGAAAAGAGCTGTGAGAAGTAGTTGTAGCACCTCTGGGGTGTTCCTGGACAACTTTTGCCATTAATATAACAATATTTCTGCCAGAACAATGATGTGAAGCAAAACTGCTGAGTACGTAAACTTTGTAAATTAGTGTGTGAGATAGAAGTTGTTGTTTTTAGGACTTTGCCACAGTTATTATTTAGCTCTCCAATCCAGTCAGAATTAACCCATTTATCCAAACCGATGCTGTTCCAAACACTATCTTTAATAGGTAAGTTATTAATTATTCATCACCTCTTCACAGAACCCCACTTTAAATTATTTGTAATCCATTATACTTCTTGAAAAAGGACCTGAAGAGTTTCTATGACAGCAGCAGGACTCACATGCTTTTGTACTTGTGCATCATACAGCCATAAGGCTGCCATACATTCTCTCCCAAGTAGCGTCCTCTGGACAGCAGCCATTCACAGGAGTCTCCACCTGCAGGCAGACACAGGGAACCTCCCAGTGAGTCCAAACATCATCATCAACAACAAAAAAGAAAGAAAAAAAACCTCTTCTCTTGCTTTCAATCATGTTTCTTTTCTGACTAGAATAGTAACCCGCTGCGCAGAGATAGCACTCTGACGTTTCATTCAGTGAGCTGCTTTACAAGAACGACGCAAAACAAAAGCTCAGTCGGGGGCCGCTGCACAAAATGAAGCCATCGGCAATTTCGCTCACGCATAATTCGCTCCAGCTATTCAACTGTGTGCAAAATGAATGGAGCCATCTGCAGCCGAACGGGTGCGCAGAAACGGACGAACGTGTGTGCAGACCGGCGGCAGGCGTGTCAACCCCTCCAACAAAGCAGCTGCTAAATGTGTACACAGAGAACTCTTTCTAATTGTAGTTTAATAAATTAGTAGGAAACATTCAGAAAAAATAAACAACCTCCCTTTTTTATTTTTGCTCTTCGTTCTTACCGTTCATGTTTTTAACATATTAAAATAAAAAACTATTGTAGGAAAGTGTCTAAATAAAAACTTGACATCCTTCCAAGAAAAAGAAGCACATTTAGTGCAAATTTTACTGCACAGTTTTGATCAATATTCTGGCTATTTTCAGTGTGAAATTATCTTAAGTCTATTTCACAGTAAACATGTCAGATGTGGAAAAAGGAAAGCAGACGTAAGATTGAGAGCTGTTCTCCCCTTCTGCAACTGTCACTGCTCGTTGTTCTGCAAAAATGTTAGAAACCAAAAGTTTTTTTTTATTTTTTACCTAAATAGACAAAAGACTTCATGAATACATCTGCGCTTGCTCTACTCTTTCAACCCCATTTCTTCTCTGGGATGAAAAAAGTGTCAAATGTCTGCTTGTAACACCAACTTAAAAAACATTTATGAGTGTCAAAAGGACTAAATTTCATTCACTTTGGATTTCAACAGAAAATGCAATATTACAGCCTAAAAACACAGTGAAGGCAGGTAAACTGTCTTTAAAGTAGCTCTTTTCCCCCCTGATGATGGTGAGGCAAAGTTTTTGCAAAGTACCTCAGCACAATGACCTATCAAATGCAAAATAAGGTCCTCGCTAAAACAGGATTTTATAAAATCTGGAGTTAAAGTTTGAATTTTTTTTCTAAATATGCTCACATTGACACCGTTTTGTTTAAGTAATGTTTTGTCTTTCAGAGGTAATAGTGGATCTAAGATGTGAAAACTATATTTAGACTTCAGACGGTGTTAATTTACCTCCTGGATTACACTGATCCGAACTCAGCATGCTACCAACCCAATCCTAGTTTTAAATTATAGGATTTTAAACTGCACTGTACGTAATTACTTCATCTTAGTCATTATTTGTTAAAGACGCCGTTATTGCAAGTGCTGGTGCTGGCAAATACACGCTCAGGAGGGTGTCTAGAGTTGATTAGTATTATTTCCTGAAGCACGTAAACACAACTTAATGAGTTAGCTTCCTTGCTAGCCGCTTTGAATAAGTCGCTAGCGTTTCCCCGCTGCAAGTTCTGCTGAAGTTAGCTTTCGCGTGAATCTTTTATTATTTATTCTAATGCATTTCGACATAGCTGAGCGACACTGAATAAGCTGCTGTGTGACGAGAAGCGAGGTGAAGCAGCCGGGAAGTACAGACAGAGAGCTAGCCGCTGTTAGCTCGTCTCAACCGCGGTCAAAATAACGGTAAACCTTTACCTTCATAAAACCGCAGAGCCGCGTGGAACAAGAGCAGCAGGCTGACGACCGCCAGCGATATCAGCTTGGCATTTCTGATGGTGAAGTGGTGGTTTATTTCGCGTTTGCCCAGGCTATAGGCCAGCAGCGCCATCTTTGCTCCTCCATGACAACAGGCAGCTGTGTTGTCCAGCAGCCGCGAAGCAGCACCACCTGTCCGCTCTGCCTCCGGAGACACCGCCTCCTCCTCCTCCATCACCGCGCAGGTCGCTGCTCCTTTTCTCCACAAACACACCGAGGTTTGCAAGTGTTTGAACCCCGCAGTAAAGTTGTGCGCCTTAAAAGTAAACTTCAGCCTTTTGTTTTTATGGGCGTGCTYTTTCTAAAACTACGAGTAGAATTTTTGCAGGAATGATAATTATGCGCGAAACAAATAATTGTACAGGGTGGAGGATGTTTTCTGTAAGAGAAACTGCCTGGAAGTGGTTTGCAAAGTTGYGCTGTCAGACAAGTCAGGGCTGTCAAACTGGGTTGTAAAAAAAAAATCCTACTGATTAAACAAACAGGGTCAACGTTCATGAAATTTACACTAGAGGTGGAGGAGTGTGGCTGAAGGATGAGTTTCGCAAACAGCTGTAAAATCTCAGGAGGAGCTGCCGCTCTGGATGACCGCTGTAAATAAGATTTAGTAATGTCAAATTTAACATAGGGAAACTGTATTTTCTGCAAGCATATTGGGAATGTACTGAAGTGTTAAGTTAAAACTCAAAAGCAGCCAAAGTTTAGTTAGCTCACAAGCTGAAGCTGTATAGTGGAGCCGTGGTTGGGTAGCCGACTTGGGACCAGAAAGTCACAGGTTTGACTCATGCCATTCCTACATATGACTTGTGCTGCGTTCACACCGAACGTGATTTCAGCTTCAAAATCGCAGCCAACGCTGAAGTTTGAAGCTTGTGCACTTTGAGGTCAGACGCAGGTCAGCTCTTGAAGCGCTGCACGGCAACAGCCTCCCCGCCCCTCCCTCCTCTGTCGGGCTCTGTTTAATGTCGGACGAGGAAGTGGCTTTGCTTTATTTACAGAGAGCAAGAGCGTGTCACGTTCATCAGATAATTAATTCATAATTAATTCACCAGATAATTCAGAGTAGAGGCTCACAGCTGATTTCAGGACTATTTTTCCAGTCTGATGAGCCGCTGTCACACATTGGTGCAGATATCTCCTGTCAGGACACCGACTGCAGGCACTCGATTTCAGCTAAAGAGCTCCTCTCCGTCTGTTTCAGGTTCGTGGACATCATTCAGTAAACTGTCCCATCAGGAAATATGTCGCTACGTCACACAGTGGAGTCTCTCTGATTGGTTGACGCGGCGCGTCGAGCTGCAAAAGTTCAGATTTTCTAACTTCAGCGATTTGCGCCTCAAGCACGTCGAATGCTCAGATKGTTCAAATCGTTCAAATCGCGCTGCTCTAATCGTGCTTGAGGCGCCGCAGCACTTCCCGACGTTGCTTGAAGCGCGTCCACCATAGACTTTGCATGTAGACCTGATGCTCCTGATGCTGAAATCGCGTTCGGTGTGAACGCACCATTAGTGCAAGATACGGAACCCCCAGCTGCTCCACTTGTGTGTTTCTCACATGTGATGGGTCAAATGCAGAACACAAATCTCATTATTTTATGCAACATGCAGTGATGACAATATAAAGTACATTTACAGCCTTTCATTAAAGGCACAGTGTGTAGGATTTGTTGTTTTCAGCGACATCTAGTGGTTGAGTGGTTGAATCATCCTCCCTGGTCCTCCCCCCACCCCCACCCCCCGCTTCCAAACACAAAGGAGTTGCTACGGTGTCTCTCAGGTGTCAAAAACCTTTGATAATTCCAACCACGATGTCTACCAGCAGCTTCAGGGCTAGTGATGTTTCAAGTGGTAAGATTATGAGCTTTAATAAGTAAATTATCCCAGCTACAATGACAGACAACAAATATTACATTTATAGTATTACAACTAAAACRGTTTTTGATGCCGCCACCGCAGTTTGTCCTTCATGAGCCTTCGTAGACAAGATGGCGGCTGCCTGTGTGGCGACCCGCGACCATGGAGATATAAACAGCTTTTTATAAGGTAAAAATAATAAAACAAGGTCTTTGTCTGCAATGATTAGACATGTTTTTTATTATTATCTTTAGTAATTATCTCAATTTTGGCTAAAAGAATCGACAAAATCCTACACACTGTGTCTTTAACTTCATCTTGTTCTAGGTTTGAGTTACAAACACAGTGGCTTAAGCAGGGAGGCCTAGATTTCTCTTTCCTAAGCCAGCTTTTCTGGAAAGACTCCAAGGTGTTCTCAGGCCATCCCAGACATGTTCTGGGTCTTCCCCCGCGGTCTCCTCTCAGATGGAGACGCCAGGAAAACATCCCGAGGCGTCCAGCAGGCACCCTTGCTAGATGTTTGAACCACCTCAGCCGCCTCCTCTTGATACTTTACGTCTCTCTTGGACAGCTAAACTTCTCATAAGGGAGTCCAGCTACACTGTGGAGAAAACTCACTTTGACCTATTGTCATCTGCAATCTCGTTCTTTCAGTCACCACATCACTGACATGAGACTGTCCATGGTCAAAGATAAAGACTTCACTACAATAGTTTGCACTTTTATTTGAGATTACGCACTTCCTCAAGGACACATTTTGCAAAGCTCATGGGGAGGATATGAAGAGAGTTTCAAGGATATAGCACACAATTGTGTAAATGTTTGTGTACATTCATTTTTTTTACTGAAACTGTTTGACTTAATATTTACCTATTTATGCATTACAACTTAATATCATAGTAACAGAATTCTAAAACGGCAAACAGTCCAAATGTTCTATTTTCGAATAAATAGGTCAAAATTAAAAATGTTATTTTTTTGTTTTCCGATTCATCGATCATCTACACAGATCTATGGGTTAATCTCATGCCCCATTTCTTCRTCATTTTTGATGATGACGGACAGTTTTACCAGTCTGGCAGGCAAAATGCCTCGTAAAAACTGAAATGGATCACAGCAATCGCACAATGAATGACCTGTTTAATCCAGAAAATCAGGCTTATTCAAATGTCTGTGTTTGTATTGTATCAGCGTTAAAGAAGCCATCTCAGGTCAACCTTGACTTCTTAGCTGTGACGAAATAGCATAACGATAACATTTTTGTGTTTGCTTTCAGTTTGTCTGGTTCTGCAGCTTTCTGTTTTCACGGCACATATTCTTACCTGTCAGGTCTCTGAACAACGTATCATGGCTGTTGTTCAGGCTCACTTTAAGAGTAGAAAAAGAAGTTGAATGTTCTCCAAAAAAACTAAAGAAGCTGGTCTTCTCAGTTCATAGATATTTGGAGATCTTTGTGAAAAGAAGAGTAGATGCTTCACTGTCACAAACATGATCCTTTCCCGACATCTACAAGACATGTACTGCCATCAAATTCAAAATCCCCATGTTTTTCATAAAAAAATGTATAACTGTTAGTTTAAATATTTGATATTTACTATGTTCTATTTTGAATAAAATAAGGGTTCATAAAATCATTGCATTCGTTTTTTTAACTTACATTTCACTCACCTTTTCATTTTATTTTTATTGGGGTTTTAAATTAGCACTTTTTTAGTTAAGAGTTTGAGGTTAATATTTAAAACTGTAATCAAATGTGTTCACTCTTAAAGGGGGATTTGTATGTAGGACCAAATAATYCAGTATAAAACAAGCAAACAGGAGGACATTGCTGCATTGTATTGATGCTCTGACTTAGAGTGGAGGATTTATTTATCAGGCCAAATAGTGCTTTTAACATGATTTAGTTTGCAAATTGGTTACTCCTGACCCCAACTTCCCAGGAAAACATTTAGTGTTTAAAGTTTAGTCATCATCCAAATGCAAAATAAATGTAAAAAAGGCTATAAYTCTGTGCTACATTGCCATTTGGTGGTTGTGTAGAATACTGCAGCCAGCTTGGACTCAAAAACTTCAGGTGGTCTGTATGTACTCTGTAAATACCAATATAACCTGTAATTTTCTCAGTAAACATTAGCACAAATTCCTACTGATGTAAATCATTGTCAGGAATAGCTAACATGCTCACTTATTRATTGTCATTGAGGCAACATTAAAACTTAACAATTGTTCTTGTTAATTGTTTCCACATAATTCAATACACAAATCKTAAATTATCCCAAAGGCTGCTGGTTTACATTTGAAGCGGTGGTACATGGGAGTTTTAAGCTGGTCCTTTTTTAGCATCTAGTTTGTCTGTAAACGGAAACAAATTGGTTATTTTTTATGTGCTTTTCTATAACAATGCTAAAGCTAACAATGTCGCAGTTTATGGAAGAATGCAATGGTTGCGGTTTCTTTTTAAAGTTGCTATAGGTTGCATTATCTTTCCACTGCAGCCCCCACCCCACCACCATTAATTTCCCACTCAAATGTAGGGCTTTTTTTTACTTTTAAACTTTCTAAGTCATCATTAGATATACATATTTAACTATTCCCTTTTAGAGACAACTGGATTTAAGATCTCAACTAAAGCTAATCCACTTTAGCTAACATAAAAATGTCATTCTTGCTGATCTGAAGCTAAAATTTGTTTAGTTGTTGAGTCATCCCCATGTGATAACAAATCCGTGGGCGACACGCACTTCTTCAAGGAATGATAAGCCTACATATATCAGTTTTAACTTAATTTAACCAACTTTGGTCCTTGACATTTTGGACAACACGAATAAATAAATGGAAATAGCAAGAATGCCTGGTTCCCATACCGATTGTAACGACCAAATTCATGCATCACTGTAGTTCAAGCCTTGATCCAAACCCAGAAGTTTTATTTGGATGCAAAAGCTGTTTTATGCAAGAAAAAAAAGCAACATGGGCGGTTGCATATTTACAAGAAACAATGCATGTTCGTAATAACACAATGACATGGAGAGTGTAAACAGAAACGTTCCATACATCAAAATTTGATGTGCCGACGAAAGGCAAGAAAAAGTTTCGGGGGAGGGTGAATCCTGATATGGTTGTGCTTCCACAATAGGAAAATTTTTAAGTCAATGCTGATACAAAAATCACCAGCCAAACGTAAAAACAAAACAAAAACAAATTAAAAAAAACAGTGACCCTCTGTCAATGATATTAAAACATAAAAGTCACTGCATGTGTAGTGGGGTTTGGAACACTGGACATGCTTTATTTCAGAACTTTTCACAATTTATTTAAACATCTCACATATACAAAATAGGTACAATAGACTTTGTGGTGTCATTGTTTGAGAGAAAGAAAGGCCGGCTAGAAACAATTGGGAACTGCTGTCAGTTTGAACACTGA